CATCCACTAATACTTCATCCCATTTGGTTGGTTTAGGTGGTTTGTCTTGTGCTGATGTCAAACATTCTCCATGTGAATCCGAAGATTCTAATTGTCAAGTTTGAGTTTAGTTTTCTCAAAAAATTAATTACATTTCCAAATTTTCTAAATTACTTCAAGCATATCAAGGGACGATTTCGAGTTCGACAAATGAGTTTCTTTTCTCTCAGAAACTTTCGATATTCTGTTTTAAAGCTGTCAGGATGGCACCCGCCATTCGATTTCAACTAAAGCAATCCTTTCCACTGTAACTATGAATTCAGAATCGGAAATGGTTCTTTAAGTTCTGGCTTTCTGCATTAATGTTCAGTAGAAGGTATTGGTTAATTCTCACATTATAGTATTTGACTGCTAGCTCAACTAACGGGTGAATTAAGGTTGGTCAACAATCCGCACTATAGGTCTCTTTTGATAGGGTGTACCAGGAAATGCAGATATCAGTCCAGTTCTGGATTCTAACGCATAATGATAAAATGACTTGAAAGAAGCAGAAATAATAATAAAGTAACAATATAGAGGATTAATTTCAAGTTTAAATAAATCCTAAAACTAATCACTTCAGCAATTTAGTTTAGGTAAAGAAAAAGTAGAAAGAAAGGAGTGCATACTTCTGTGTAACTTGGAATACTCCTCCAAAACAGCACTAAATCGAGCACCGTCACTTGCGCTAAGCCGTCCTTTCTCTACTGCTTCAATAACATCTATCTCGTCAACCAAGATGTCACCCCGAACTACTGCTTCTGCCAAGTCTGCCATCGACCTCTAAAGTTGCTTTAATAAATATTCGTACCAAAAAAAGAAGCTAATATATCTTAAAATCGCTTACAATTGCAGGAGTGATCCACCGATTCTGACAGATTTAAGGCAAAAAATGAGAGATAAACGCTTTTCTTCTTTCTTTTATGATAAATTTGCGCAATAAATAAATTGAATTTCTTAAATTGAGAGTCATTCACTTCTGCAATGATTAGAAGGTTAAATTGCAGCATTAAAAAAGAAACTTTTTTAGCTCTTCTGGGGATGGTTCAGTTGAAAGAATGATTTTCAGATTGGCTGGATAAGAGAAGTGAAAAATAGCAAAGACAGAGGTTAAAATTCTAGTTTATATTGAAAAATTGCAATCATAACTATTTAACGACTCATTCAGCTTATTAATCAGTTTTCCGTTAACCCAAAGTAATGAATGCCTATTGATTGAAATTAAAAATCCGATGATTGCAATACGAATTGGTGAAATTGAAAATTTATCTTATCCTTAGGCTCTATAAAAATTTTCACTTCAATTTTTTCTTGCTATCAAAACAATTGTTGCAAAACTAATAATATGAATTGAGTTGGAAGTTATTTTGTATATTCCTTGCGCAAAATTTCATATTCTGTGTAAATATCCTTATATGATCCTTCCCGAGTTGAGTTCGAATTTGAACTTGTAATCCCAGCCGACTCACTTTTTTCTTTAATTATCAATTTGAAACTAAAATGGGTGTTATATGATATTTACTTTGGTTGATCATGTTCACTTTTTATAATTTTCTAATTATATTATTTGATCCATTTTATTGGTATCATAATTCTACTACTACTTAAAATCACAGCTGTTGGCTTTGTTAAACCCTTTCCCGAATAAATTTTCAAAATTTTTTGACGAATCATTTTGACAATTATTAACTTTCAGAAAGCATAAAAGTTGACTTGCTTCAAATGTTTTTGTCTGAAGTTTTCAATTGAAGCGATTTGTGTTGTTACTAAATGAAATTCGATGCCAAGCCTTAATTGCGAATCATTTCCCGAGGCGATATCAACTGCTTGTCATTGTCTCGTATCCAAGGTAACGGAATAATCTGCAAAATGTTGCTTCACTTCTTATAATCCTTCATATCATATTTTGTTTTTCCCTTTCAACAAAATATTATGAACCTGCTGTTTGCAACATTTAAAACATTCAATAGCTAAGATTCTAGTTTCTTCGAAGCTGCTTCTGTCAGGAAATATGATTTATCGATATGCATAGTAACAGAAGGCGTCCTCGAGTAGACTCCTCGACACCCAAATCATTCTACTGCAGTCCTAAAAGTGAGTTACCAAGTAAATTTAATATTTCTTCTGTTTTAAAAGTTATCAATCGAAAGCCGCTTGCGATTTTTTCTTTTACTTAAGACTTTGTGACACAAAACTTAATGTATGTACCTCCGTCTCCGAAAACCATGAGACGGTATCAATAGCTTGTGTTCCTCATTTCGGAAATTTTTTTTTTAGTGGAACTTCTACAAATGAAGACAAAAAAAATATTAAAATTTTTGACAATAGTTAATACTTCAAAGACTTTAAATGGTTTATATGGCATACATCGTGTAACGAATGAAATAATGAATTGAAAACATGGATTTTTCAGGTTATCATTATATACCATTTGCCCAAAGAAGATCACAATCGGCTGACTTTAAAAGACAAACTAGCGATAAGGTGATTTTATAACATAATTCGTAAAACTTTTTCCTGATGTCTAAATCAAATATTTTTAGCTTTTTTCCTTTTGAAGCTGAAATTAGGTATAAGAAATTCAAGATCCTGGATCGGTATAATATGAATTGATCTATCGATCACTTGCAATTTTTAAATGATAATGCAGTTTTAAAAACTAGAGAACTTTAAGGCAGATTTTTAAATTGATGTGGTGAAACAAGTTAATCCCAGCTCAATAATGAAGCTCAGAGTTGTCAAAATCGACTATGGAGTAAATTTTCGAGGCAGAGCCGCCCTTATTTACTTACGAAGCAGGACACAAGCAGTAAGGACTCACCGGTATCTTCAGCAAGTTTCAAGACAGTATTTTCGAACACTAATCGATCAGGTCGGTCAGTAGTTATACAATCTAAAAATAATCAACTGCAGCAACATGATCAACAGCGAAGCAAGGCCTGTTTATTTTCATCACTATTTTAAGTTTTCTTATTTTGTTTTGTATAAGTATTGTAACATTACATTGACAAACTTGATTGCATTTCTTTTTCTCTTTTTAAAAATTTTGTTCAGTGGCTTTGTGATTGATTATAATAATATATACCTTATGAGAAGTAAAATCACCAAGTATGGTTGTCAATTTCATTTTCACTCTTATAATATCATGATTAAAAAGGTATGAAAATCATTCATGTTTCTATTGCATTCTACTGAGAAATCCCGGATTCAAAGGTGTTTAATATTTACTTCAATAGTTACTTTACTCGAACTTTAAAAGAGCATAGTTTTCAGCAATTCAGATATAAACGACTAACGATTTGATTTATTAAATAAAATAGTGGTGAAATTTTCTTTAGATTGGAATTGTGTTGCAGAAAGTTTTTAACTCATTTGAGTCGGAAATTCCATCTCAAACACGAAGTTGCGCTTATGGCAATAGCGACGAAGAAATGCAAGAGAAATTGGATCAGTTCAAGAATTTCATTCTTGATGATATCATCCAGTGTGGCGTTTACACGGATAGGTATGACTAATATTCTTCTATCATAGAGTTACAATGATTTTTGTAAATAGCAATTAAAAATATAGGCATCAATTGCCAACACTAGGCCTGCCCAATCCTACAGTAGGAAAGTGCTAATGCTCTCACTTATTTCAGTGTTATCCAGGACTGTATTTCAAGAAACATTCTAGAAAACTTGACCCTTCCAATGGTATGTTATTTCTTTTCAAAAAGCATACCTTTCGGTTAGTAAAGACTGTTGAAATTAGCATAATTTTTATGGGAATTTGAGTAATTGTTAATATTTTCCAAAGGGAGGAAAAGAAAGAATATTAATAACTTCAAAAATCAAATTATATAAGCGCTCGATGTCTAAATTTGAACAAATCTGTTAATGTATAAGTGAAAAATTGTAGGCGAATTTACAGCAAGCAATCACTGAATTACTCAGAGATATTGGTGTATTCAATATTGAAATGAATAAGATGACTTGGATAGCGAGTTCAAAGGTTGTTATAGAAGCCATCCGGTTTTTCAACTCTCATTAATTTCTATCTTGCACAAATTAATTATGTAAACGAGTTAACTTTAGTTACATCGGCTCTTTCAATAAATTTTCTAAATTATGAGAAATTATTATGGAGTGACGTAAGGTAGATTTCAGTCCATAGATGACGAAATCAGTTACGGAAATGAAGAGTTTGAGAATGATGAAGGCGAATCTTTATCAGTGATTCCATCGATGGGAAGTGATTCAGATAAATTGACAAAAAAACCATCGAATTTTGGATCAGTATCGGTTAGGACCACTGATTCATCTACTACATTGAGCAGTTCTTCTATTATTGACACATTTAATTAATTAAATAGTACATCTACAAAGAAATTCATGTCTTTTCTGATTATATTCTTTATCAATGAATTTAATATTATGATATATATTAACGGTGAAATCACGAGAGTTGTCAGCTTTTAATTCTGAGTTCAGTATTGTTTCATCCACTTCCTTTTTGATATGTATGCAGTGCATATGATAACTCATAATAAGTTCTTTGCGAATTCAAAAATATGTATTGTTGCAGAGTTATCAGCACAAATTAAGTGGATTTAAAAAAAAAGAAAATTCACTGCACAGGCTGGAAGGAAGATCACATTTGTAGTGTTTGCAGCATATAACTCTGCGGAGTAAAACATATCCTAAATCTTCATTCTCGAAGCCTAACCATGATGATGAGATAAGGTGAAGAAGTATCGACTGATTAATTTGAAATTGAAGTTTCAAAAGAGGGAACTTTATTTGAGTGGCTCAATGTAATGACAATCTGTCTTGTCAAACATGAACAATTTCCTTTTTCTTTGTTATTAACATATTCATTGAATGATGCTAAATTTGTGAATAACATCTGAGATATGGGACCTTTCGGTACGCTCCGCAATGACATAAATCAATTATGCAGTGATAATGGTGGTCTCTTTGTTAATAATGCTATTAAAACCCTTAGTGTTTGAGGGGCAATGCACTGCAAGAATGATAATGATAAGATCATCATACTTTTGCTAGTTTTGCAATAATCAGACATCACATCAGTAAATTAATAGCGAAAGGAAAATATTCCTAATGAGTTGTCAAACGGATGTTAAAGTTTTTCAAGCGAAATTTTCTCAAATGAGTCCCCATTTTGTTATTGATAACATGAGGCTGCTTAACAATGATATAGACTATGAACCTACATGTGCTTCATGATATTCCTAAAAGCATCATACTGTCTTTATTAGCATCCTGTCGTCCTTATAAAAATATCGTCCTTGTAAAATAAAATTTATAAAATAAAATATCCTTATAAAAAATATATTTTCGTTTCCAATGGATATTTGTCATAGATTTTTTTTAAATTTCTTATCAAGGAATAATAATTATTATCATGTTATACCTAATTCATATTATCAAAGGCATATGATGTATTATTGAAAATTGGCATGTAAGGAAGAATTTGATGTTTAAATCAATATTGTAAATATAAAATGGAATCTGCATGGTTTGTGTACGAGTAATGCACAAATTTCTGATAACGAATTTGGAAGTGCTTTAAATGAGTCTCATAAGTGCTTTAAAGGAACAATTCCTCCTTCAGATCAATATATCAAGATTTGTCTTTTGTTTTGCTTCATTCTACATCCCTTCATTTTAGTTACTTCTTATTCTTTGTCTTTTCTTCCAAAACCGATGTCAAACATAATTTCACTACTGACTTTCCTCATTTGCATAGGTTTGCCATTCGATATTTGAATTGAAAATTATTATTAGATTGTTGAATTGAATAACCGGGAATTTATGATTTAATCATTCTGATAGATCACATTCTGATTATGAAGCAACTTACTTTAAATGTCCATATCAATAATAGTAAGATATTAATTATTATTGATGACAATGTGGCAAGCACTGCTTGCATTTGTACAGAGGTTAAAACATATATTAAAAATTAAACTATTGAATAAAAAATCAAAATAAGTGGGTTGTTGACCGACCTATTTCTATTATGTAAATAGCCTTTATTGTTTATGAATTAATTGTGAATTGAAATTCTGCAATACTTCTAGACGTTATTATCGTTTATTGTGATTACTTCCCTTTGAAAAATAATGAAAGTGGTGAATTTGGTCTCGAAGACCAGTATGGCGTACCGTGCTTGTTGCTAAAATTCTCAGCGCAATTATACAACTTCAACATAAATGGTACACGTATTGCAACTAAGGTAGTGAATGCTTTAAATATTTGTTAAGCACATAGTGAAGAATATTAAACAATAGAATGAAAACCTAAAATAACTAGAAAAGTGACAAAATTTTTTGTTTTTCTTAACATTAATTTTTCGTAATTATAGCATAGCACTGAACTTTAAGTCATCCATATTGCTTTAGATTGAAATATCTATTCAGGTACCCGAATTAACATCACCAAAAGTGAAATTGAGTGGATACTGTGCCGGCAGTAACGGGAACAGCAGTAAGGCAGAATTTAAGGCAAACTGGAAAAAGGGGAGACGTAGGAAGCAACTTACCTTGTACTTCGGAGTGGTAAAAGTTTTTGCGATAATTTCTTCGATTCGTTTAACAAAGCACAACTTTAGGTTGATGTCTTTTGAAATAATTTTGCGCCAAAACTTGTATCTTTTCTCGGCTGACCCAAAAAGTGACCATAAAAAATGTCGAAACCTCTTTCAAGGCTCACGTTAAAGATCCAGTAAATCAACTGGAAGTGCTTCGGTGGCAGTTGAAGATGGTCTCCTACTCTGAATCCTATTCCAGTAAGTTCAGCCTATGCAAAACTAATTCGTGCTTGTTTCCCTATCACAAATTCGTTTTTGAGCTTTGAATTTCTCGAAGGAATCACAAAAAATTTTGAATATCGAAACACGCCAGGGAGTTTTTAAGGACATTCGGTCGAATTTTCGTCGGAAGAAGTGATGATGAGTGCTCCGTTGAAGCAGAAATTCATATGTCACGATAAATTAAATTTAACACTGACCAATAAGCATTTCAAGGATTATATCCTCGAACTGAATCCAGAAATTAGTGCGCAACCGTATTACGTCATCGGCAAGCATCCAAATTGTATGTTATACTTTAGTATTTATTAAAATCGAATATGATGAAATTTCCAAGTTCATAATGGGAAACATCTTATTCAGTATTCATTTGTGGCAGTACACGACGACGAACGCTAGCGAAAAGTTTCGAGAGTCGGATGACAATTTTTTCTGGAATAGTCCTTTGCATAACATCGGTTTCGCTGATGGTTGGGTACAGTTTCCACAGACAGTCACATCCCACTAGAAAGAAACTTTATGAATCACTCACTTAGTTCTTTTTCTCCTATTCTTTTGTCATAAACATAGGCCATGAAGTTTAAGCTTAAAAATGAACTGAATAGTTGCGAAACACGAAATTTCATTCAACTACATAGCACTTTCATTAATGCTTATCTCTTTTGCAAAACATTACTGCCACCGGTATATATCTAAAAATATCCTATTTTGTTAACAGCTTGTCTAGCAATGTCTAATCAAATTTGCAGCTTTTCTTTGCAACGATTGGGTACCTTTTATTGGGTAGCATTTATAATGCCTCATTCACTGTAGTCTGTCAGAAGTTTTGTAGACTTATTTTTCAACAAACAAAACATCAGGACTCATTATAAAAAAAATTCGGAAGTTTATCAGAGTGAAAGCATCAATAATACAAAAGACTCGAGAGAGATAAGTATGTAACAAAAAAGAAATTAAGCAAACTAGCAATGTAATGGAGCACCAGCGGCACATATTTTTAAAAAATGCAATTTTAGCCTGTTGATGTGCGTGGATTTTCAATTGAAAAACTTTCGTTTCGATTCACTTCCTCGCCCTTCACCTTCTTCTCTTGCGTTACCTGTAATACCGAAATGTTTTATTTCTCACAAATAATAAAGTTTATTTGATTTTTTTTTTGCAACCTACAAGCTCTATAGAATGATAAAGATATATTTCTTGTCCGATTCCAATCAACTTCAGAATACATTCCTGAACATCGGATTCCGCAAACACCAAATGGAAAAAGTTGACAGAGGAAATTAGAAGCTAACAACATAGGAAAAAGAAGTATTACAATTAATATCCATTTGTTTGATATTTGAAATAAGTGTAAATCTAGGTGTTTACCCAAATGAAACAGCATTCCTCTTAACTGAGATGATTTGTTTATGCAGTAATCTAACCACATTCTCGAGGTTTTTTAAATCAAGATAAAGCATCGGTAGATAGGACTAATAGTTTTGAACTTGACCGAAAATTCTGAATCCGACCTTTTTTGATTTTGTAACTGGATAAAAAAATTTCAAACCTCGATGGCTCGAAGTTCGGAAAAAAGTAAAAAATACCTTTGTCACGTGGAAATAACTGCCTGGTTCAGAGCCAGCACGTCGTATGACAAGGTCGGCAGTACTACGAGCTTCACCGGCAATATTTTCGGCAAGACAAGTAAACTGTCCACTGTCCGCCATTTCAACTTTAACAATAACCATTGAATGTATGCCATTACCCTCCTAAAGAGCACCTTATTTTACCTTATAAAATTAGGAGAACCTAAAAGATGCTGAGACTCTGTCCGAGCAAAGCAAAGTTTTGCAATACAGTAAATCTAATTATAGTATCAATCGCAATGCAACTTCCACCTTTTGCTTAAAGGATAGATTTTTCTGATATGCTACTACAAAATAGAAAAAAAAACTGTGACTGACATCAGTGAGGCGAACTTCATCACAATGTGGAATAACAAGGCCGTTTCTCATCCAAGTTATCGATGGGACTGGATCGCCGGTTACTTGAACAGTCCATTTCAATTCATCACCTTCTGCGATTTCCTCGCTAATCAAACGCCGTACAAAATCAGGTGCTACAGTCCGTGCTAAAACTAATTCGTGCATCAAATTAAAAAGCAAGTGATGTAGCATAGTGAAATTTTAAAAGAAAGGATTTAAACAGATTCAAAAATAAAAACTGAAGAGTTAGTTTTAGTATAAATAAAGTGCATTCAGTTAATTTAAAAATGATAATTGATTTGTAAATAATGGAAGCAAGTAAAAATGAGTTGAATCGAATAAAAGATTTGTTGCATATAAGCTTGACTCCCCCTTTTGGGGTGACGTTTAATACTGATGTTTTGAATTTACATCAGGAAATATACATTTGCCAAATTGAATCTCAAGTAAGTAAAGAGTAATAAATAAGTTGCAACATACGCCTAATGACAAGTTGGGCACTTGATGTGGCAACACCGGACGAGTTCTTCGCGGTACACATATATTTGCCGGAATGTTCACGCTGTGAAGTAGGAAAAGTCAATGACACATGACCACCTATGTTGGAAAAAATTAATTCTGGATTAGTGGCTTTGGATATTGGAACACCATCCTTCGTCCAAGTAACTTCAGGAGTAGGCCACCCTTAAAGTATTGCATTGAGTGAAATGTATCAGAACTGAAACTAAGGATTTCAGCTTGATATTATAAATAGAAAGAATATATATTATAAATAGAATATATGTAGTAGTACCAAATGTTTAATTTTTGTTAACAATAATTCTGAAAGTTGAAGCGATCATGATCGCCCAGTCTCACCATCTACCTGTGTTTTAAGATTGACGGTAGAAAGAGGAAGTTTACACACAACAGTAGCTTGTTAAAAATTTGAAAAAAAAAACGGTGAAAAGAATGAAAGAATGTCGTGTAGAATCTTATTGGGGCATCCCGAGAAGTAACCATATTGCTTAATTAAGAAGAAAATGAAACCGTAAAGTTCTGATAGCATGCAAGCTTGCTAATATTAAAAGAAATAGTTAAAGATGCTCGTAAATTATCAAAGATTTCATTTCCTTATTAAACTCCTTCCATACATTATAATCACTATAAAACTTTTTTCCAATTTTATACATCGCAAAAATATCAAAATTGATAGAAACAAGCCTATTCAAGGCGGATTTTATCCTCGAAAAGCTGAAGTTCATTTAAACTTGGAGAAATTGTTAGACTTCATCACTAATAAAGAGTATATATTGTCATTCTAAATTCACGCATGGCTTCACAAATACATCCTTTCCTATGTAAATATAGTATTCATATTAAAACTACTTTATCTTTCGAACATTTTAACTTAGAATAATCAATTCAGCATAAAGCTGAAAAAAGAAAATGCTGAGATTCTTTTACCAATAACAATCCCTTGGAATTTAGTTTCATCGCCGCAAGCAGCTACTGCAGATACTAAAGTTTGCGTAAAATGCGGTGGTCGACCAAGTTGTCGGTTCTCTTCAATATCATAACGCTCTGATAAATTTTGCTAAAAGTGAAAAATTATGCATCTCTGGTAACAAATAGTAAATTTATACGACCGTATGCGTTAGTATGCTGTTCATGATTTTAATTTGCTGCAGAAAATAATTGACTGTATATCATTCATAAATACTTTTTAATCTAATCGTCGTTAACATTAAGTAAAACAATCAGCAGTAATGGGCTGATGACGCAGATTCAATGATTAATTGAATCTTTGGAATTGTGAGGAGAAAATGAAAACTTTAAGAAAATAATTATCAGGTTTATTTGCATATTACCAGAACAACTTACTATGAGTCTAAAATGTCAAGGTCGAAAAAAAAACTGGTACAATTTAATATTAAAGCTGCTGATTAAAGAAAAAAACCGGGTCTTTGGAAAAGCTAACAAAATGAAGAAACATCATATTTACTGAATTTCCTGGGTGGGTGACTTCATTACTAATATCTACAAATAAATTGAACTGAAAAAAAAAGTCAAAACTAGGAAATATGATCTCAAAGTTAAGATTGATCTGAGATAGTTAAGCATTTAGGACTAATAACACATAAACAATCATCAATATGAATCGTGTATAAAAATAAGTTAGAAAGTTTGAATATTATGTTTCAGTTTTTAAAATTATCACGGTGATCAGTTGGCATGAAAAATTAACAGAATAAACGCCCTTGTATCCATCTAATTCCAGATCCATTCATCCACAACTTATTCATCTTCCTATCTCTGTTTTTATTCTGATTAAGTTAAGAGATAATGTTCCTACACAAACTGATGTAATCGACTTTGTTTAGAATTTCTGATCAAATTATTTAAAAATCATGAAGCAACTTCAGGACTTCTAAGTAGCATCGATTCCTAAAAACTGCTCCTGTCAATCTTATGAAATATTGTTAAAATCATAATTGACATCTTTAAATTAATAAGGAAACGTCAAATGAGTTGAAAGAAAAAGTTGGTGAAGGTGACAACTCATCCATTTCATCTCAAAATTTTATGATGACTTGCTCAGATTTATGGCTCCAGTAAATTTAAGCAAGTCGCCATAAAATTTTGGGATAAAATTCGATGAAAAACTAATAGCAGCTTTTTGATTATTTAAGTTCGTGAAAAAATAAATCAGAAATGTGGAGAGGAATGTAAAAAATGATGCCAAGGAATCCAATGGCATCATCGATGAAAATGATAAAAAGATACATTCGATTATGATTACCTTAGACCTATTTTTCAGTTAATCCATCAATACACTTCGAAACCAAACCCTACCTGCTGGGAATGTATTGTCTGTAATTGTTGTTTCTTTGCCGGAGGGGGAGAGAGAGGTCTTGTGGAATGTTGTTTGGCCACTAGACGACGATGGTCCTCTTCACGCATCCTCAAATTACCATTCATATACTCCAGCTGAAAAAAATAATCCCTTAAAATCTCTAAATTTTCAATTAACTTCGAATAATTCTGATCCAAAAGCGAAATTAGGATCTGTTTAAGAAGACAATTCATCTCATTTATTTCATTTTGATAATGTATATTTAATTTCAGATTCCTATTTAGTAGCACAAGTTTTAATTATATTCAAATTCATCAAGTAAAGCAACGTTAGTATAATGTGATTTATTCTTAATAGATTTTCAGTGTTACAGTAAAGTTACTATGACTCAGTAGTTGTGCATTTTCGGTTAGGAGTCTGCCCGGTTAGAGGAACCCAGTTACACATCTTCGCCAGAAGCTTATAGTTTCTGAGCCGCTCAGCTTTTATGTGCCAATATATGGCATGGCATTTTCAATCAGGTTTTACCACGACATCGCCTGATTGCTGCGTCCAGAAAGTGAGAAACTAAAGTTAGGTGAAAGAGGAAAAGAATATGTTAGAAGACTTGAATGTAAGATTTCGTAAGAAGATACTTCAAACATTCATAGGAAGTAGCCAAAGCTCTGGCTAAACTCGTCTTCATGAGACCACAATAGTAAACGCTCTCAGAACAACAAACATACTTGTTCAAGCATTAAGATATATTATTCATCGGTTTTCTTAACCAGCCAAGAAAAAGTACTAATGGCTAGACAAGTTGAGCGAATGAGTGCTCGTTGGACATGGCTTTAATGAGTAACGTATTTTAGAGGATGGCCCTGTCATTTTCAAATGTTAAATTAGAAAAGCGTTAAAATACAGATTTAAAGGTAGGATATACATCCATAGAATAATAGCACAATTTATAAGCTGATTTCTTCAAATTCTTTTGCTAAAATAATTATTCCGAATAAAAAAAAAAAACTGAAAAATGTTTGAATCAAAGATGCAATTTTTATATAACGCAAGTTCTAATGGAAGAACGAGCAATGAGAAATAGATTTTCAGAATAGTTGTAATTATGTTAGATTTAATTTGAAAGGCCGAAACTACATACTAGTCTCCTTTCTCCTCTGTAAATAATGCCCTCCTCCTTCAGTTCCTTTAATTCTCACACTATGAAAATTTCTATTTTCTTCCCAGGAATTTTTTCTTCAGTTTACTTTTTTGAAATCAAAATAGACCTGTTGTGAAAACTTTTCATCGGGTACTCGTTGCTCATACTCATAAGCGCCGTACTCTTCGGTTACATGAACATGCTGCAGACGACAGCTAATTATGATAAAAACGACGTAAAAAATACTTTAAAAAATACTGGAAACTTCGACTTTATTTGTCAAATTAAAAATGGTCATTTTTCTATTTCCCAAAGAGTGACAAATTTTAAATGATTTTAAATGAATTCAAATTTTAAATAATTAAATGATTTAAAAGATAAATTTTAAATATTTTAGATACGTATATCTGCACGAAAGATAAATTGTTAAATATCTTGAAAAAGTATGGTGTAACGTCGCTAACCTCAACTGTGGTAGGTTTCAGGGATCGAGGTAGTACACGCACTATAAATACAGATTCCGTTTCACCTCGTATGTTCTCTGCCGTCATCTTGTAGACACCGGCATGATCCAAACGAGCCGGTTCCAATATTGCCGAATACGTGTCACCAATGTTTGACAACTGAAATGTTCCTCAACTGAATTCTGATGTAGTCTCAGGGGATTTTAGGGGAGATCGAACTAAAAGTTAACTGTTTCATGAAAACTGTAGATGGGCAAATTTCGAATTTTGATTTAGAATTAGTATTTCAGAATAATACTGCAATTATATTATTTTAATACTAATATTTTGTTTATTTCGAGAAATATACTTCTGTGTTCTTCTGTGTTTGGAGGAAAACTAAAAGTCTAGTAAAAATTTGATTTAGTAGAAAAAAAATCTTTCCAACTCATTAGAAATAAGTTCATTCTTTTGTTGAAAGTTTAACGACATGCGGTACTGAAATGACAGTCCTCAAAATAGCAAAAAAGCAAAGTACGGCTGATGTAATTCTTAGACTTGTAACTCTCTGGAAAAAATCATTTAAAACAAATACTTAAAGTATTAGTTGCAGAAATATTCAAACATTTTGACCAATACAAATGTACTCAATGAAAAATATATTTTTAAAAATTTGTTAGAAATATTTGTATACTTACGGAAGATTATTTAGTTACAAATTTATTCCATCTATGATAGTGCTTCCTCACTTTTCCTTGACCAAGGACCAATTTGGCTTTTTTATTTGTCATAGGGATAACAGGGTTCAAAAATAATAAATTCTGCTAATTTGAGAATAAAATTTAATCAAAACTCTTAAAGTCTCTTAAAGTATTAGTTGAACTTAGAGTAACATCATAACATAAAAAAAGAAAGAATAAGGGGACAAAATCACAGTCACAAACAAAGTCATTTTTTTATCCTTTATTAATAATTTTCTACCCACTGCGCTGTCACCATTGCGCTGATATTTTAGTTCCATATTTCAGTTTGCTAATTACCGCTTGAGAACTGATCTATTATGCCTGTTTCGTAGTGATTAAACAATATGCACGAAGAATATGAAAAAGAAAAGAATCTTCTTAATCATCAGAGGACATTTCTTATATGCGATCACTGGTCTCATTTTTTCTTGAAAAGTAGTGGAATACAAAGGAAGTGAGTTCTAAAGTAAAAATATAATGAGAAAATAGACATCAAAAAAAGTGGGAATGAAAAAGTTTTTCTTAATCCAAAGGATAACTGCTAGCACGAATTACCTGTTTTATAGTTTGGTGTTAATGTTTTTATGAGAATAGTGGAAATGGAAAAATACCACATGTCTATATAATCTTTTGGGGGTTTTAAGCTTTCGGGAATTTAATGATCGTATACAAATCTGACCGAAATCAATTTTTTTTTAGCATCGCTATTTTTATTAATCTGAAGCGTGAAGGATTGCAGGGAGTATGATGAAACGGTGAGAAGGATGTTCATGTAAATTCAATGCTTCTGATCCAATCAAGTCAGAATGTTAAGGGCAGTAAGGTCTCGTTCATCTTCTGCAATACTTTTTCTACATCGACATTGTAATATGTACTTACCGTGCAGAATTTGGAGTTAATATTGATGATCTGATTGTTGAAATACCAGCGCACTTTGGGGCGTGGATTACCAATCATCAAGCAATCCATCTTGAATTTTTCACCTTCTTCGACAACATATTCGTTCTGGAATGGTCGAATGAATTCCGGCACAGTAGCCGTGGGACTGCAACCTGTAACAGCAATTTCGATAAATTTCATAAAGAACTCTGTAAGAGCATACTTTTGAAAGGAACCGAAAATAGATAACAATGAATGAAACAAAACGCTTTATCATTGCTTCAAATCCTCCGCAGCAAATTCTATTAGAAATGAGTCCTAGGCCTACAAATAGTGCGAGAAGAGGGCTTTAAATTGATAGAATAGACATGAATTGAAATATTGAAGTACTGGCACTAATGAAATTTTTAAATTTAATACCGTTTCATTGTATTAAAGATGCAAAACATAAAAATTACCAATTTCGGTGACTAATTTTTCTGCGTATTCTTCAATTTCTGAATGATAACGATGTTTAGGTATGGGCGGTGGCGTTGGCGATGACATTATCGCAGAATCACTCCAGAAACCTTCTACCTGGAAAATTTAATTAACTTTTTCATTATAGACAAAATTCACATATTTTTCTAAGTTTCATTTAAATCAAATGGAAATTTAAAAAGATTCAAAAAACAATAATTGACTAATAACTCACTAAAGTTTGAACAACATTTGTTTCCCTCTGTTCCAGTGGCATTCGCCGAGATTCCACATTCAGCGTAGCGCCTGATCGTGCTTCACCTGCTTTATTCTGAAAGTAAACATTTGTTTTCAAGCTCTATTCATTACTGTTTCCAATTTTTCCATGTGATTTGATAGTACCAATAAAAAAAGACAGCGACATTCTCTATGAAGGATATCAGTACCTTTGCAATTACAGTATACATTCCGGAATGTTTAGAAGCGGTATTTTCAATGACAAGTCGATACCATCCGTTAATATCACTCTCCGTATGCATATCCAGATTTGTATACAGTAGTCTGTCGTTATGTTTCCAATGAACCGTTGGTGGTGGTTCGCCAAATACGCGTACCTAAGTAATACCATTGTTTCAAGTGAATACTGATCTTTTTCACTTTCTTCCTTTTAAATTTTAAAACCCAAAATCACAAGGAAAATTGACAAACCTCAAAAACAGTCCTTGCACCTTCCCGAACCACTTGATTGGTAAGTGGTGGTGCAAATGATGGTGTGATCAATGAAAACTTTGGCTCGGAAGATGTTGAGGGTGGCACCATAGTACTTCTTGAAGTCGGGGATGATTGCACTGTTAGACGGCAGAAGTTGGTAGCTTCACCTACGGTGTTCATTGCTTTGACGGTGTAAAGACCAGCATCACTCATCCTTATATTCTTCACTTTCAAGGAGCAGTGATCGCCTTCAAACTGAAGTTTGATACGCTCCGATTCTTTGATCGCTTCCTCTTCCTTATACCAAACCACCTGCAATAATTAATCAAATTTCTACTTCGTAATATCATTTTCAATTTCAGAAAAGTTAAAAGATTCAGTGGCAGTTCTAAGCCCAATCTTTCAAAGACTCAAATATGCTCAAGCAAATCCACTCGATTCATATCCGAAAATCTCAAGAAAAGTTCAAATAAAATAGAAAGAGATAACCTCTAATCCGAAAACACAGCAAGAAAGAAGCAGTAATAATTATCACGACAGTTATATATTATCAAATCATTACAATCACATTATCAACCACTTCTGCAATCATCTCTCACTCATCAAAACTGTAACTATTCAATTTGTTCGGCTGTCAATAATTCGTTAATTATTGGCAGATAGTCTAATGAACGGGAATTAGTAAGCATTCTTCATTTATAGTAAAAGGAAAAAATTGGTACTTTTGGTTCAGGAACGGCTATAATAATGCAATCGAGAAAGGCGTCGTCATTTTCCGTGATGGTGATATTGCGCAACTGTCGGATAAAACGCGGCTTAAATGATTCTTCCACCTGTCGCTCCATCTCGCTCCTAGCTATAAAAGCTTTTAAAAAAATCCATGAAATAGTTACTTTCATTAGTTTTTGTCAGAAACCATAACCACAGCAGCACAGAGCTGATATAGCATTTAGATCGATTTCAACATATGTCCAAATGTTTCCACTTTTCATTTTTATACTTTTCATTTTCATTGAAACCATATTTATCCCCAAGAATTTCCTAGATTCAGAAATTTTAAAAATTTGCAAAGATTTCAAATTCATTCTCAATATTTTTTGGTGGGTTGCCAATTCGAAAACTTTCATCCAACAGTTTAAACTATATAATCTCATTATAATTTGAAATGTTAAAAGGTAGTAGAATAGTAGAATGTTTGAATAATATCTGTAAGAAAAATGGATACAAAATCCAAAACGTTATCGGGATTGAACCATGCTTTTTTTTTTAGGTTTTTTCCAGGAATTGATGTTTTTTTCTTTTTTACTTCATCATACGCAAAACTTGAAATTTTAATAATTTCGAGACCTACATTTGACAACAAGTTTTGCGGAAGATTCGGCCAAACCTGCGACATTCTGAGCACGTACCGTGTAAACGGCAGTGTCTTCTACAAATGTTTCATCGATGGTCAATGTAGCAACCCCATTGACGAATGCAGTACGGTAATCAATATTATCCTTCACATCTCGACCGTCCTAGAAAGATAAGCATTGAAAAGTCGTGGAAAAGAATGCTTATCCCGAAATATCTCCATCGAGCGCATAATACATAATTCAAATGCAATGTATAAGAGAAACTTGAGTTTGCTTCGTCTGACACACCAACTACGATAGTGAGATTGAGATTGATATTTTACATTATTGACCAATGCAGAAATTTGTATTAAAAAAACATGACATACCTTAAACCACCGTATTTCAGGTACCGGTTCACCTTTGACATAAGCGGTAAATTCGAATCGATTACCTTCGTCGACTTGTGCGTCACGTAGGTGACTTGTGATTTCTGGAGCTTTCATCATTTCCCTAAAAGAACTTGGAAAAAGATCGAAAATTTGAAATAAACTAAATGAGAAAGCGACGTAATTGCTATTATATTATCTGATTTGTTAAGTATCTCCGATCAGAGTTTATATGCATAGTTATTTCCAACAATCAACAACAACTCAATCATTGAGGAACCTGAAGAAGCACCATGTCCTATTTCAACAAGTCTCTACAAATTAGTTTCGCTTCCCTCCTTGTATTTTCTCCGTCTTACAAAAACACCAACTAATTGCAAAATTTAATTTTCATTAGCCACCGGGTTCAACCTATAAATTTTAGCTTAATGACGAACGATTTTTTTTTTGGCAAAGCACTGCTGAAATTATCAAGTCCTCAAAGTTCAAAAAGCAACGAACTTCGCGGTTTCGCTAATTCGCTTCTCCATATCTCGGATTCTCTCATTTAGTTGTACAAGTCGTTCCTCAATTTGTTTCTGGCGCTTTCTCGCTATCACCAATTTTTCAAATGCTTCTTCACCTATAAAAAATGCTTTGTTATATCAAAAATACCTTTCTCATTTCTCTTACAAAATGCAAAATTTTAACTTTTCGAGTGAAAATCGCTTCTCTTATTTTCTCTTATTGAGGAAGGCAATTTTGGCTGTGTTGTGTTCCAACACAGCCAAAATTGCCTTCCTCAATAATTTTCTTCCACGATGAATGTAGAACAAGGGCCAGCTGAACGAATATACAGTAACTTTACTTGTAAGCTCTAATTTTACTTGTTAAAACTACAATTACCTTCAGTTTCCTTCATGATTGTTTCAGCTTCTTCGATCCTTCGTTCTTGTTCTTGGAAACGTTCCTCGATTTCCTCAATTATTTTTGTCACTTCTTCGTGTTGTTCAATCACTGTCGCATTTTGCAGTTTCTCCTCTACGACACGAATTATCTCTACTGTCTCTTCTTGCCAAATTTGGACCTTGGAAGAAAAAGGAACTTCTACTTTGAAACTCAATTATTTTCTTGAAGACGATGAAATCTGGTAGGCCTTCTTTAACATTACGTCTCTTTTAACAAATTCACACCTCCTCAACAATGCGAATTATTTTCTGTTCCTCTATTCGCTTATCTTGCCACCGTTGCCAGGTTTCCCCAATTATTTTCTGTCGTTGTTCATGCTCGTTTAGTACATTGCGCACTGAATTTATCGACTGCTCAATGTCAAGCCTCGAATCCTTTACCTTTGCTGATTGAGCTGTGTTAATGAATTGATTGCCTGAATATTTTAATAACATCCTTAAAATCTTAAATTGATAATTTCGATAAAGATTTCCTCAAATTATTTCTTGTTAAAAAAAGATCAAGTTAAAAAAATGAGTATAAGAATTCCATATACAATATCAGTAGTCAAGTCTTGACGAATAATGGAAGAATTGAGTGTAACAAGCTTAGTTTGCTGCAATATTAATGATTTATTCTACTCCGTATCCCTAGTAATGAGTAAGACGAATAATTAATAGCAGAGCCACCATTAGAAAGCAAAAATCCTACAAATTATAAGAAGATATTATAATAAACCTTGATGTTTCTCTTGTTTAATTGTTTCTTCGATCATACGAAAAACTTCCTTCATTTGTATGAGTAATTTCTCATTCATGTAAGTACGGTCTGAGCTAATCAAGGAGTTTAAACTCTCAAATGAATTCTCAAGTTCCTTAGCAAATTTTTGCACCTGAAATACCAATTATTTTGTAGTATTACCTCATTTTGGGAAAATGCAAAACCCGCATACTTCAATTTAATCCTGAGCAAGAGTTATTCAATGAGGCATAAGTTTATTCGATCTTATTTAATGCTAATGCTTAATGCTTTTATGGATTCCTTTTAATTTTTCTGTAATTTTTCATTAAAAAACTTTGCAACTCTTGACTCTTTGAACTTCGAACGAGTCTCTCTGCGCCAATTATAGATTGAAATAATTGCGAAATTTTACCAACCTGTTGGAAGGCAGTACCAAGATTAATGCGTTCGTCTACCGCTTCTTTTAATGATTCGTATCGTTGTTTAAATTCTTCCAAACGCTGATGATCAACTGCACCTAATTCATGAGCTTTGTTCCACAAACCGTTTAGCTCAAATCCTTTGTTCTATATAAAAAAAAAGAAAAATTCAGACAGTAAATTCTGAATGTGAGTGGAAGTCAGTGTTGGAGAGCCAAAACAATTTAAAAAGATTCCTTTTTCTAATTTCATAATCTGAATTAAAAAGAGAAACAAAGTTCACTTACTACAATATCAATGAACATGTCCTTGTGAATTTTATGGAACTGAATGGCATCACTCAAACTGCAGCCTAAATGGCCATTTATCACAAATGACTGCTCGGTTTCTGTGAGCCATTTTTCGAAAAAATATAGCTGAAATGAGTAATCCGCTCTGATGAAAAATAAACGAATTTTTTCATTTTCTACCCAATCATTTTACTGACCAAATTTCATCTTCCAACAAAAGTTTTATGCACAAATATTATTAGAACAAGTAACACTCACCTGGTCCTTGATAAGTTCTTTGCTTCCATCAATCCGTTCACAAGCCAAATTCTCGATCTGTTTCAGTTTATTCTGGATATCAATTATGAATCGATTGATACGTCGATCAGTGTGCTCAATTTGCCGTCCATCATCAATTACCTTTTCTGCTTTTTGCCTCGCCAAAGGCGCCAGTTCTCCAGCCATTGCTGCATTAGCATTACGCATATCTGTTTCCATTGCATCCAATTGATTCAACATCTGAAAACACATCGATCCTCATCCTTTTTCGAGAATTCATTCACGAAAGGTTCGTTTGTCCAATAATTCTATCTTTTATTATTAACAATGGTTTATGTTTTTCATTCATCGATATCCTTTGTAACTTAATTATTCCTGGACGTCAAATGTTGGTTCTGATAGTGGTTAATTAATTAAAAGTAGTTACCATTTGACAAATCATAACTATGAATTGAAGAGTAACTGAAAGAGGTGCAAATTTCAGATCTCAAGTAAAATTAATGAGAAAGCTTCAATCGGAATACACAAACTTTAATTGCTTCTGTAACTTACGGTATTTGCAGCTGCAATCCATGCGATCACCCTATCATTTTCATCTTTTCTTTGTTTCAATTCATGCATAAATTTGTTTAGATCAGTTTGCAACAACATGACTCGTCCATGAAGATTCGCGTTTGCGCCACTTCGATCGATAGTCAATATGATATCTTTTAGTGCTTTGAGTTGTTTCTGAATACGCAACTCTTATTCATTAGAAAAATCTCTTCTAATAGACAATCTCTTACCTACTTGGGAAAAACTTTCACGTTCTATTTTATTTACTCATTGCTGTTTAAAAACAACAATCAACAATCTGATCAACAATCTGATTAAAAAATCATAACTGTTCGACTTCTTTTAACAATAATCCAACAAGAAATAACATCTTTAGATGATAATCTTCATTGCTATCTTTTTTGTTGGTGTATTTGGCAAGAGAGTGAAATTTAAAACATCGCTACAAATCGCAGGAAGATGAGAGTTGACTTCGGAAGGGTAGAACTCACTAGAACTTGCTGCATAAGTGCGTTGATGTTTTGTCCATCACCGAGTTCCATTCGTGCCTGTTGAAGCCATTTTTCAATTTCTTCGATATGAGACAGAACCGCCCCGCTCTCATCAATTTGCATTTCTAGTTTGGATCGTTCGTTCTTCCAGGACTCTTCAAGCAATTCCCACTCTACCGCCATCTGTTAAGAAAAATAAATGCAATCATCCTGCATACTAAATTGATAAATTCCAAAGTGCACTGTATTCATTTATCCTTTTCCAGCAATAAATACAATTTCCATCTTTTTTAATATTCATTAACAACAAAGATTTTAACAGAATTTGGGCGTGAATTGTCAAATTAAATTACGATTTACAAAAATTTTTGAACAGTACTAACATCGCTAGCCAGACTTAAGGCAACTGTTAATATTTTTAAATTGATTCAAACAAATGTAAGTTCCATTCACGCAACTATTAGGAACAGAAAAAAAGTGATAGTGTAAATAATAACACTGAACATTGAAACTCCTAGTAGTAACAATTTATTTATAAAATAACCCTGCGCGAAACGCAACGATATCGGTTCACAAACAGCAAATTGATTAGAGTGACTTGATTATGACTTTTGAAATTAAATATATTCATTGAATACCGTGTGATGCATTATGTCATGTGACTCCTTCACGACGACATCTGAACTAAGTTTAATTCAACCTTTAAGCCAAATTTTATTTACCACGGCTTTTTAAAATCACCTCCAAGAAAGATGGGAAAGAACCACACCTTTAACATAGTTTTTTCGATCAGCAAGCACGCTTTGGCAGTTTCCTGGACACTTTCTACATTATCAGCCATAGAGCCCAGCACTCGAATTTGTGTTATTACATCAGCTCCGCTATCTACAGCTGATGCAGTTACATCGATCAATTCTAAATTTAGGATACTAACTTAATACGAGATTAATCGAAGTTTACATAAGATATGACTTCAACATTTTTTTCAAAAATTTAATAGGAATTTTCGAATTGATAAGGAATATAGCTCAAATAACTCTAATTAATCAATCTCAATTCTTATAAGACCAAGTTAATTTTGGCTCTTTTGTCCAACAAACAGATTATGACGGAACTTAGTATACTTCCAATTCAAACTGTTAAAACATCTAAATCCTCAAATTATAGAAAAATCAGTTTCAAAAATAAAACGATAACCGTCGATGAGTTGCTGAATTTGTAAGATAGTAGCGCTTAGGTCGTCTGTATTCGGTTGCTGAATCGTTATAGGAAGCATATTTCGCACTTTCGAACTAATCTGAATAGAAGGAAATATCTTGTTTGCTAATCAAAAGCACTTGTCTTGAACCAAATAATCTTTCAAAATCTGCGCATTATTTTGTGCAAGAAATTGAAATCAGTGGAAAATAAAACAAACTCCTTCATGATGTTTCGCTAGTTCATAAAATCGCTTTGTTTCAGTAAGTAAAAATCCTCGCATGTGAAGTTGACAGTTTAGCTCTTTCCATGCTGTACCCAAACTTTCAGCCATTGCTTCGTAAACGTGAACATCAGGTTCCTTTTGCTGTATTACTAAATTATCTGCTCGAGCAAGCAGCTCTTCTACTTGATCTTCCTTACTCTAAAAGTTAATTATTAATAGATCAATTAAATCACGGCATTTTTGGAGTATAATGCGCGGTTACGTATCGTTTTTGCAACGCATTTGCAGTAACGTCAAATAAAAACGTTAGTCAGAAAATTAATTAGCACAGAATTTATTAAGCAAACAAGAAGTGGAACGAGGATGATATTGGTAATTAGCGAAATGGAACAACCTTAAGCCGATGCATCAGATCTTCATGAGTTGCTAGCAGAATACCTGTTTCTTCCACATTTTCTCCAAGTTCAAGCATTCGCGGTTGCATTTCATCAATTCGAAGAGATGCATATCCGACGCTCTGTAAGCAGTTTCATTTCATCTGATGAAATATCGCAGTGATCCTTGCAATAACAAAAAGACGATCTGTGACCGATTCATAAAAGAGTAGTTTACAGTGACACTTCTCATCCGAATCTCCTCCACTGGATTATAACTAAGAAGTGTTTTTTGAAAAATTATAAAATATAAAGTGGCAAAATTGGGGCAGCATATAAAATTTTATTCTCTTCCCCTTCTTCTGAAAAAAAAAATAAGTAAATAGAAAATGATGTAGAAAAAAGATGAAACACAGATCAATAATGACCGATTCCTTCCCACCGACAGCGCACATCTCAGTAGAAAGGAATTGAAGATCTGTTTTTGCAAAGTTTTCCTGCTAGCCCTCTACCAGGAAAAACGGATCATCAATTTCTTTTAAATTTAAATGGGATATTATTGCGCAGATCTTGAAAAGACATGTCTAGAATGGTTAATCGATAAACCTTGAGCTGAAGAAATCATATTTAGCTTCCTGTTTCCTAGACTGATACTACTGCTTAGAAGATGTGGATTTCCCTTAGTTACTGAAAGCTCATATTTTCAGTTTCATTTCGCTTTGCCTTCCCTGCTCCTTTGTTGGTGAAAAGTTGAACATTCCTTGACAGTAAATAACTTTACCCGGATTACTTTTTAACGCTACATTTCAATTTATGATTAGTTGACAGATGTATATTTCCTTTGATTGGCTTATACAAGAGAAATTTATTAGTCATATGAGGTTCCTTTCAGTCTCGTTAATTTCATCTAGTTTGCATTAATTCGCGCAACAAGGGTGTTTTACTATCAATGAACAATTATAAATTTGTATTCTTCAAAAAACAAAAAAAAAAATTAAAGGGTAATTAAGATCACAATTAATGATGGAGAAGAAAATAAGTCGAATTACGACTAAGAATGAATGTTAAGGATAAAAATGGTCAAATCTTAATTGTTGGCACTAAAAGCTAAAAGCTCAATGAAGAGGCAAATTGGAAAGTTTCAATTTACAGCGCGAGATGTTATCGATTGGCGTTTTTAAAATTGTAGTGGATCCACTAAAAAAAGTAAACAAAATTGAAGCATTAGCTTATTGGGTCGATTGCGTTCGTCCATTGGATTTGTGGCCACTTGGTAATATTTTTATTTTTTCATTTAATTATTAATTGAACTTCTTGCTTATTCATTTATACTAAGAGGAAATGAAGAAAATGCAGTCGCAAGACCATTACCAGGCTATTTTTAATAAGCAAACTAAAAAAAGTTTCGGGCTTTTCTATAATGGATCAGCAGCTATTGATTTATGTGAAGTTTGTGAAAATGAAAGATTAATGGTAATCTCTACCCTGATCCAGCTCTTATCTTTACATAATGAAAGTATGGAATGCTTTTTGATAGAGCGAAAGAATCAAATGAGCAATTTTGGAACTTAGGAAATCCGAGAAAGCAAAAAATTTAAAATGACGTTTGATGCATAAACAAAGGTAAGGCGATACGTGATGCTTCTTGGTTGTGACATATCAGAATATCTGGTAATATATAACAATTACAGAATATCTAGTAACACATAATGATTGCAAGTTTTAATGTTCCAAAAGGATCAGTTTCAGTGCCAGTGATAAGCTGATCACTATTAAATAAGCAAAGGGAATGAAAACCTTAAGCAATGCGACAACAATTGTTGCTTTTTTGCCTGCATTTATTGCAATTGTACTGATTGTCGTTGTGGTTGGCCGACTCGAATCCTCCATTCCGTTTCGCATATTAATTGCAATTATTGAAGAAATCCGCTGCACTTCACACGTTTCAAGTCGAAAATAATAACAATGAATAAAGTAGAACTGCTATCCACAATGACTCTTTTGCTTCACTACCACCAACACTACCACAAATCATCAAAGTCTCGAGATACGTAAATCAAAAATACGACAACGTCGAGTAACATTTAGAATGGAAAACAGAAAGATCTGGAACACAGACATATATATTATACAGACATATATATTATACACGCAGACACACACATAGACAGGCACGCAACAGACACATACTCCGGTGAGCTTCACAATCTCAACCAAATGGTAGATATATCTCAGAATGAAAGGCTGCACTGATTGCGCTTTTGAAATAGAATAGGAAGCAGCCTTGCAGATAAGAGATAAGCTTTAAGACTCGAATAGACATAAACACATTATCACATGTACCACATTAACACACAAACTAGTTACACATCCTACTGCTTTATGTCGATCGAGCAGGAGTAAGACAGAGCAATTTCAACTTATCACTAGTACTCCTCCTCCACTTGCAAATGATCATCTGCAAACAACGGACAGTTACACCAACAGCTTCACCATTCAAAGGATAGATTGTCTCATCAGTTCCAAGCAGAAATGAACCAAAACATTGACAATTTTCCAAACTTACGAAATGGTGAAATTTCTAAGGTAAAACCCACGGTTGCTTTGCCTTTCCTAAAAAATTTATATTAATATCTTGTCATTATATCCCCAAAAAAATTCTTGATCCACTTTGAAACCACTCCAGGCAAATTGTTGAAGAAATGGACCAAAAAGATATGTGGCACAGGGCGGTTCTAACTTCTGCTTATTTTTTGGACTCTAGTCATTTATGTTACAACAATTATTGCAAACGCTGTAATTATGTTCACGAAAAAACCATCAGTTGTCATATGATAAAAATAACAAACTGGACCAAATCTTTCGACGAATTGTAAACAACAAATGATTCTTTTCTCTTCGAATTTAAGAGCATGATGAACTTAATAATTTCAGTCGCCATTCGCTCTAAAAAAACTTTACTGCTTTATAAATTCAACCTTACTCGCCAGATAAACGGGATAATTGGAGCAAATCACATTTCAAGAACAGTGAGACAAGTAAGCTGCAAACTCAGGTTACAACCGGCATCGAAAATGCATTCTATTATAGCAGAAATTGGATGATAGCACCGACGTTGCTGTAAAGTGTTGAAGGGGTGTACAACTCTCAGATTGAAGCTTTCAAAGGTTTTGGAATGTGTCGTTAACACACTTCAGCTCCAAAATACAACTTACGAATACATACGAATACTTACGAATACATTACGAATACTTACGAATACATGGAGATATCCATGCACATAAGAGCGAAGACAATTGGTTCCTCAGACAAGTACCACGATCCTTTCTATAGCAGTTGCAAAATTTTGTACACTCCAAATAAGGAAAGGTAAAGTTATGTAAGATGAAGCCAGCAGAACGCAACCAATCATCTCCCACATCCTTACTATAACAGCCTCCCATCGCTTAATAGAATGCTTCAATTTCCAAACCTTGCGAAAGCTCACGTCGTTCAAACGCATGAAAACCACAGACATAAAAAATGCATCTTTACTGGGATAAATAGCAAGATCACTCTATAAAAATCTGATAATATTCATTAGGCCAGTTAATGAAAGTCAAAAATCCAACTATCATCTACATGAAGTGGAAAACACTATATGAGAGCTACTTTCTAACACCAACTGGAGTTTCTTCTTTCAGTGGATCATATTTCGCAAAGTACAACTCATCTTGAATGCGCTGTGCCTTCCCACGTCTTTTGTGCAAAGACATATGTTCCGGAATTTGATGTACCAACATGGCTTTCCAAATTTCTGCTGCAAATTATGAAATTCAGCAAATGGAAACATTCCATAAAGACGCTGAGAGTGGAAATATTATAACACTTGAAAACGTACTAGCACTACAGTAGCATTTTCTCATTTTTTTTAAACAATTTATCACGAAAAAAACAAAAATCACGATTAATTAACCGAGAAGGAACAAAAGTGTACCATTTTTTCCTTTTTCTAGAGAGAGGGCAAAAAAGATATGAAAAAAAAGGATTACCTAAAAATATATAACAGGAATAACTTACGTGGAAACTTAGCTATATATATTGGAATCAGTATCGACATCCACAGAACGATATTTCTGTTAAACGGACACAATTTCCACCACCAGCGAAATGGAAATGCTCGGAACTGTTATAAACATAGCAGATTTAAAAACGTATAGAGTCTTAGCTTTTTAATTTAAGCTGCTCCATGATATCAGTAATTATTTTATACAGAACGATCCGCAGGACGCTTTGAAAAGAAGCGCAAATCGAATGATGAAAATTTCATTTGAAGGAAAAAAGGAGAAGCACATTCATTTATATTCACGAGCCATTTTTTGGAATATAAAGAATGCTTACATAATTTAACTACAGTAAAAGTAGACTGTCATGGCTTCCAGGAAATTCCCGATGCAGATATAAAGGTTTATTGACTTTTGAAACATGAATGAAAATCATACTGATACGACCCTATCCGATGTAACAGCTTTCTCGTTTTTGCTGTTTCAATTTACATTTCCTTTCACTCAATTTCTTGTCCCTACCCAACCTAGTAATATAAAGTAAAACTTACTCCTTCAGCAGGTGTACTCGGGATAGCCGGTTGACGTGGATGGATATCAGCAGCTGGAATAGGAGCATTAGGGCTGGCGATAACCTTAGCAAGACCAACAAATGTTTCACCCCACCATTTCGCTTCACGTACCAATTTATTCAGCATACCTGCAACATAAAGAAATTAACAAATCCCAGTAATGTAATCCACTTCCCATATTGATAAGCGTAATATATTATGCATATGTTGTGCAGATTGATATAACAAGTGCACGAACATGGATAATATTGAACGTGGCAGAGGTTACAGCTTGAAACGAGCAATAAATATCAAGTGGTTAATAAACATCGCTTTCTGCTTCCTCCAAGGACTTTCTGCCAATCATTTTTTAACCCTTCTCGCAATGTTTTATATCCTCGATAGTTTGATCTGATCGATATCGTTGAGAAATAAACAAGAAAGTGTAAGCCGACCCATGCCAAATGCCTTCTCAGCAAACGCCTTTCAACCTTTCCCTCCGAATTATCGTATGTTTGAACTTTACAACGGTTCGGGGAAACATACGCATCAGGAACCTTCTGGAAGGTTCGATGAATAACGGAATTTGGTGGTAATGTGTGGTGTGAAGAGATTTAAACATATCGGATGATTGAGGTGGTAAGTTCGGGGTTGGTGCAATTCCGAATCCGGTAGACGGTTGGGTATTGGTGGTGCTAGTAATGTGGAGTATTGGCTTCTATTCCTGTTTTCCTCAAACTGTTTTCAGGTGAAACGTCAAAGCACGTTAATATGGCAGCGGTTGATGGAATTGACATTACTCCCGAAAAGGTCGCTTTTAATTTACTACGCTTTACTAAATTTTTATCCGCTGGTACTTTCATTTACATCATATCACGGGCAGACACTCCACCACTAAGACATAATTTATTGATTTAGTGAAGAAAAGTTCTTTCTTCGAATTCATTAATTTAATTCCCATTCACATGTGACTAGGAAGTGATTTGTTATTTTTTTACAGTGTCAGATATTATTGTTTTCTGTTTATTTTTCAGAATGGCGGTGTTTTAAAGAAAGTATTAGTGGAAGGAACAGGGGAGCTTCACCCTTCAAAGGGTGATACTGTTTATGTGCATTACGTAGGGACTCTTCAAAACGGCGAACAATTCGATTCGAGCCGTGACCGTAGCGAACCATTCAATTTCACCTTGGGCAATGGACAGGCAATACATGCATTTCCTACAATAAATAGCTTCGTCCCAGTTAATTTTGCCGGGAGAATCAGTACTTTGCCATCGCATTTGGAAGTTTTTTGTAGCTACTGTGGCAATTTGGAATTTGTTCATAGCGATGAGACATGAGGGGTCATGTGTGGTACATTGCAGGTTATCAAAGGATGGGATCTTGGTGTTGCAACAATGAAAAAGGGCGAGAAATGTGATCTAATTTGTCGAGCCGACTATGCCTATGGCGAAAATGGTAGCCCACCAAAGATTCCTGGCGGTGCTACGCTCAAATTTGAAGTAAATGAAACTTACCTTAACTTTTAGTAAGCTTCCTAAAACACATGTATATAACGTGCCTTAACTTCTAACAAACTTGTCATTTAATATATATATATATATATATATATACATATATATATATATATATATATATATATATATATATATATATATATATATATATATATATATATATATATATATATATATATATATATATATATAT